TTGCCTTGATTTATTTATTTTTTTCCTGTCAAAATCACCCCAGAGAACGGATGGATAAGACCTGCATTAGGGCTAATTAGGCAGAGGAGGAAAATTTGAGAATTATTTAGGTCAGAAAACTGGCAGAGAGGCTGAGTAGGCACTTGGGAAAAAATTCAAAACTCAGTCTTACAAACTGCTTTCATGTTGGGTGTTTCCTTAGGGTTCTGTTAGGTCCTTGCCTGCTTGTGAATATGCAGATTTTTGGGGTGTGTGGGGTTGGTTTACACCTCAGTGTCTCACTTTGCAAATTTAGTTTCATTTCTTTCGAATGAATAGACTTGAACTGACTGTAGCTATGCCTACGGTCATTTACGATAGTTTCTTATTGTGCTGTGAGTGGAATTTAGGAAGGTATTTCAAAATTTTGTGAATATTCCATTTACACTCCGCCTTAATAGTTTTCTTTATGTGCGAATTAATTCTTTGAATTCATCTGAACCTGAAAGCTCTAAATAGTTGTGAAATCTACCTGTATGGGACACCATTGCTTTGTTGATGCTTTTAGCCCAAGGTCTCAAACTAATTAGGGCCTTTTTATTCCAGAGGCAGGGCTGGCATTAACTGGTCCTGGAAAGTCATCAGGGATGAAGACTCTGGGATAGTACTGTCTCAGAAATAAGATAGCCAGGCTTTACATGAACGACCCTTGTAAAATTCACATTAAACAAAACAAGAGGTTTATTTGCTTTTGATGTGCACACTTAACTGTAATGAAATACCTGAAATGTTAATGTGCTTAAACTGCAGTTTGAGTCCATTGATAATCCTACTGTTTGCACAACATACATAACTGTTTGTACAAATTTTGAGATTAAGGAAGAAAAATGAATGACAAAATTCACTGTGCGAGAGTTGGGGGGGAAACTGAGATGGCCAAACTAATGCTGACTATCACTGCTTTGTGAGAGCTCATCACGGGTTTCTTTTTTTTTAAGGAGTATCTCCCAGTAAAAGCCTCTATTTTTACTTTTTCAGGGGAGGTGGACATGGGGTAGAGGTGGGGGCAGAGTCTTACTCTGGAGGGAAGGAGAGCCCCAGAAACGGTCTCCCTGGGGGTATACAAGCATAGACCCCCCCAAAAAGCCGAAGCTATTGCTCATACTTAAGACTGCCACAGTCCTGTTTCAACAGCTATTTTGGCATTTTACTAACCATGGCTTGATTAAAACCAGTGATCTGAAGGCAGCCAGGCTTCTTGCACAGGTGCTCACTACGTGTTTGGTTTTGCTTGTGAGCCAGGAGAGCTGTGGGGATGAAGGAGACGGGAGCAGTTCTTCCAGCAGGGAGGGAGCCTTCCTTCCTAGGCAGTCTTCACTGCCCAGCTGGATGGTCTTAAAAATCTTCTAGTGCCTCGTAAATTTTATTGTAGCTATGCTGGGATTCCTGTGGAGGTACTTCAGAAAATTCGGTCTCTCTTACTCTGCTTGCTTGCTTTGTCCTGAAAACTTCTCATTCACAGCTGCAGACCAAACAAAATATTTTCTTGTCTCAGAGTCTATGATGCCTCCATCTAAAACTGAGATGGACTTTGTCATAGCCTTGATGTGGTGTGGGTTTAGTTGATGGGGTTTTTTGGGGGTGGGTTTTTTTTTTTAAGGACTGGAGTATATCTGAATCTTCCTAGCTTTCCAGGTGTTATGCCTTTAAGGTGCATTCTGGACAACCAATGTGGAGACAGATGCAAAAATTTGATTTGCTTGGCAAGCAGGCTTTCTTATCTCTAAAAACTTAACACCTCTGAGTCTAGGGACTCAAATCCTGTTTTGTATCTTGTATTGAAGACTAGGTTACATAGCAACCACTTCAGAGGATTTATTTCTTGAGGATGTATGTAAAGCTGTTTCATTAATGAGAGCAAGAAATAGTCTCATTACGCTACAAGTGCGAGGTAAATCTGTCGCTGCTGGGATTTTTATTGATGTGCTAGTATGTACACGTGGTGTGTGTCCTTTGCAAAATACGCAATGCCCTGGAATTCTGGTTTGTCCTTGCTGAGTTACGGTACTATGAATTACAGGATAATACCTACAGCATTTGAGTTTCTTGGGCATATTTGAGAACTTACCGTACTTATTCGCATATCTGAGATTCATCATTACCTTGGGAAGAAACTTTGCAGTAAATGAGTGCAGGTTTCTTTTTAATCTGAGAAGCAGACAAAAACGTGTGTGATGAAAGGAAGAGATGGGAGACAAAGGTGGGAAGTGAGTTATTTGTAATGGCCAGGAATGACTTCGCTGTCCCTGCTAAGATGACTAAACTGATTACAGGAGAAGAAAATATCCCAAATCAGATATCAGTTTTGACTTTGTTAGGAAATTGTCTGTCAATCCCAGAGATCTATCAGATGGCAATAGCAAAACAGTCATCTCTCCTACAACTATTTGTATGATATTGGGATTACTTTTGTAATTAGCAGCATATTAGTAGACTTGTTAAGTGTCTTTGCGAACAGGACTTGGCTCTCCACGACTTCTGTCAGTGTTGAGCATCCTTCTGTAACAACCAGAACGAAATAAAGTAAGTGCAAGCTCAAATCCTCTGTTAAATCAGGCTTTTATTGAAAGGAATGAGGGTAATCTATCAAAGATGTACAAGGCAGCATATGCTTTTACTGCTGAACTGTATTAAGGACAGTGGTCATCAGGGCTCTTCCAAGAACTGTGGGGCAGGTAAGGGACTTGCTGAAGAGGATGTGGTAGGTCATACAGGAATATGGCTTGGGTGTTTTTTTTTTCCCCCCTCACGAGGCAGTGAATTTACTAATGCTTTTCCGTGGGGAAGGAGTCTCAGGAGAACCATGCTCAAATATATTCAGTACTTGCAAAGAGTGAGAACTAGAGGCAAACTTGTGAAGGCTGTGGAGGATAGAAAATCGGGAGGCAGTGCCGGTGTGTGCAACATCGTGTTGTGTGGCACCCCACAGAAAGAGCTAGATGTCCTTGCTGGTGAAATGACTAAGGGACATCTCTGCTTTCCCTCTGACTCAGAAATTAGTGATAATGAGAATTAGCTTTTTTACTGTGTGGTATCTGTTGTCTTCATGGCTCTTCCTGGTGGATTTTTGTTATTTGTTTTTGTATCATGTTGGCACAAATACTGTAGTATCCAACTGTACTTTCTATTCAAATTTAAATGATTTTAGTTTGGAGAATTCAACATGTTTGATTTGATGTTAACTAGTGTTGCAGTAACTTGGGCAGAAGGTGGAAGGGGAGGATGATGGTGTGCGTTTTAAATTTGGCAGAGCTCCAGTAGGATGCTCACTGGGAGGGATGGGGAAAACAACTGTCCTTCTTGCTGGCAGAATGCAGTTAACATGAAAGCAGGTAATAAATCAGACTCCGTAAATCGGTCACAAAGGCTGATTTTTATTTTAATACAACTCAACAGCTAACTGCAATGGCTATATTCTGTGGAAAAATGGATGAAGAGTATAACTTTTAGGTTAGAGTGATACAAGGTTCGTATTATGATAATAAAAACTTGATACCTTTCCACAGAAACACTCTCTGCTTTAGTTAAGACACTGAGGGTGATCTGGTGGCAATGGAATAGTCACTTTAGGAGCCAAATACAGAAATTAAACTCCTGAATACACACACTTGAATACAAGACTACCTTTATGCTAATGTACATCATAGTGGCAACATATCTTTTGCTGGAGGTTGTATGGATTTTGCACTGGGCATGTGATAGCTGATCTAAAGTAGAATTGAATGAGACTACTTATTTTGGAGTGGTTGAGATAAACGATGATTTCTGATATCAGTCACTTGTGCTGAAGTTAGAAGACCAAGATCTAAAATAAATGCAACTTTCTTATTTCTACTTATGGTTGCTTGTAATGCTGACAAATTTGAGCAGGTATACTCGAATTGGTGGAAATTAATTAAAATGAAGGTTGCTGTAAAAACTAAAGGGCCAAACTGGTCTGGACTGCTTCTCCTTCACACTAAATCTTCCCTTGAGGTTTTTTACTTACAAATAAATTTCACTTGTTCTGAAGATTGGGAACTGTTTCCCACTTAAATTGTCACTTTAACAATTCAGTTCTATTTCTGGCCAATAGATGAACTCAAGCTTCTTGAGTCAATTGGCTTGTGTCGGAAAGAATTAATTTTAAAAAATAATAATAAAAATCAATTAAACAATCTTTCCTTCTCTTAGTTCTTTGCTAATGATGTGGATGTCTAACAATGCAAGACTAGGTTAAGCTTTTGGCCAATATGTGTTTGTAGAAGTGTTTGAGGTAACTGAACTGTTATATAGATTGAGTATGATGCAAATGAATTGGTGATGCAAAAGTTAAAAGTTTACCAGAATAAGGGACCTATTATAACATTGTTTAATAACAAATCTTTTGAAAGCTAACCTATGTTGTATCACACACGCCCCCCCTTCTAGTTGAGCAATTTAAGGTGTTAAAGCTCTAGATTTTAAATTTGTTGGTGTTTTCGTTCAGGTTTTTCTTCTCTGTACTACCTGCTGCCAGGGCTAGTTCTGAATTTTGGGGCCGTTGGCAAACGGTGTGCTTGTGTGTTGTTGTATGCATTGGGAATAATTCTGGGTTGGATAAATTATTGCTTCAGTAGGAAGATTATCTTAACTAATTCTTCATTTCTTGTAATTTGCACCCTTGTGGTTACCAAAGAAAATTATTTGATGGATCTAGCTCCAGAAAATGTGTATATTAATAAAGTTTTTTATTCAAATGGTATAGGAATCAGTGCTTCATAGTAGTTTGTATTTGAAAACAAATAAACGGCAAGTAGTGTGATTTGAGGGAAATGCTGATGTGTTTGTGGGTTACCGGTGCCCTCTCGAGGCGAAGCCAAAAGATGCTGCAGTCTGACAGCAATAGCGTAGTTGGAACTGCTGATACCTGCTCTGGACTTGTAAATAGTGATCTCAGACCCATGTTTGTAATCTGGTTTTACTGCTTTCTTGGTTTGTAGGTGAAAATGCTAAAGAAGATCTGCAAGGGAAGAAAACTCTGAGCGAGAAAGTTTCTCTCTATAGAGGTGACATTACACTGCTTGAGGTTGATGCCATCGTTAATGCTGGTAGGTGGTTAAATATTTTACATTGTTATGTCTTGAAAATCCTTTATAGCACCACGTTACAAGTTTGAACTTTGAAAAGTTTCACAAAGTTGGTATGTTTTGTGGAAATCTGTTGGAAACTACATATTTTTTCCCAGTTTCTCTATATTGCGTCTGTTCGTCCTGCCTGCCTTTCCTGTGACAAGGATTATTGTGAAACTTTAATAGCATAGCCACCGAGGGGGAAAAAAGATCTTATATCCATGTTTGACTTGAGTAGCTGAGACTTCACACTTGGTATTGTAGAAGGCTGAATTTTGATAATAAGCTACTGCAGTACATTCCAGTCTGTTTTTATAAATCGATTCATTTGTGGGCTAGGTAATGTGAAAACCTTAACAATAAGGCGATAGGAAAACTGAATTTGTATTTTATGTGGCTTGAATATTTGCTTTCTTATAGGGAGATTGTATCTTTCAAATTTTTCGTTGTGACCTACGGAGTTCTAAACAGAATCGTGGAATAGTTTGGGTTGGAAGGGACCTCTAAAGGTCATCAAGTCCAACCCCCCTGCCGTGGGCAGGGACATCTTCAGCTAGATCAGGTTGCTCAGAGCCCTGTCCAGCCTGACCTTGCATGTTTCCAGGGATGGGTTTAGTTTTAGTACCTCTTCTCGCTTACTGACCATGTCTCCATGGGTGCAACTGAGGTGAAGAACTGCACGTAGCATCTTGTGACAAAAGAGGAGGGGGGAAATGCCTATGCAATTAATTTCTTTGTGCACTGGGTTATATTAAGCTAATTTGGCTGTCTGGGAAACACTATAGGAAATTTTCCCCCTATACTCACGCCCCAGCCAAATCTTGCCTGCACTCCCCACCCAGAAAAGAATATGGTTTGTGTGTCTTGAGGCTGGAAACTTTTCCCCCCTAGTATTTGGCTGGCATTGCCCTTAAGTTAGGAGTTGATTCATTTTCAAGAACTAATTTTTTTATTATTAATTTATTGGTAGGGAATATACTGCAGTATCTTCTCTGTGATGGAATAAAGTGCAGAGGTTCCCAAGGTTGCATTGGCCAAAATTGGTGTGTTGGCTTACCACACTAAAAAGTTGTGTGGAGATACTGGCTCATGTCTGTAAAGAGTACAGAAATGTTTGCTCATACAGTGTGGAAGTTAGTAAACACTCTCTTGGATTGTTTGATGTTTCTCTCTGCTTAACTCCCCACTTTACAGTGGAGACATGCTGCTGGGTTTTGTGGAGTACAGGTAGAATCCTCAAGTTATCTCAAAATAGGTTTTTGCACTCCAAGTAATGAGGATGGTATTTCCATGCAAAAGCTTTTAATTAATCTTCTAGTTTACTGATGCACAAAAGCCTTTCCAAATTCTGGACAAACAATATGGTAGCATCCATGTAGTAACACGATCCTCTCCTCGCTGTGTTGGCAAAGCCTCTGAAGCTTTAATCTTTTAATTTTTTTCCTCCCGATTCTTTCAAGATGACATTTCCAGTAGTGCTCTTACTGACTTCCTTACTTTATTACTCTACAGTAAGTCAATATTAGCATACTTCTCTCGATTTTATATTTAGATTCTCTTTGTTCATATGTCTCCCTTGAATTACAGGCTGGAACTGATTGCAGATTAGCTTCAGAATGGGAATACTTTTACTTTTCTTGATTTAAAGGGGTTTTCTCCCTTTCTCTTGAAATGTCCAAAAACCTGTATCCCAGGCTGCAGATGACATTATCTACCTGTAAACTTGCCTGCCATCCTGGTAAGGAATGCATCTATCTGAGTAGAAATAAGAAATAGAACCCAATTAAAATCAACACATAGTAATATGTAGTTTTGAGGAAAGGATTAAAGACCACTCAAAACCACACAGTAAAACTGAGATTGAAAGACCTAAAGAGGGACATAAGACTCTTCAAGTATCTGGAAGGCTATTGGCAAAAAGAAAGAAGTTCTTACTTACAGAAGACATCAGTAGAAAGTTAGAGGAGTTGGATTTGGGCTTAATGAGAGATTCAGATTAGATGTTGGCAAAAGTACTTACTGGAAGGGACAGCGATACTCCACGGTATCAGGCTGATATGTAGCAGCAGTCCTAGGTCAAGACGTTGGTATGGGTTGGTTTTTGAGATTCTTCTAGCCCTTTTCTTCTGTAATCTTTGGTAGTTCCTAAAGTGCATAATATATTAACTATTATGAATTGTTAATGTGCTTAGATTAAAATACTGACCTACAGTTACCTTGAAAAATCAAATATTCTCTATATGTCAATGCAGTAATTAAATTTTAAGTGTAAGTCTTTGATTTGTTCATGGTTTCAGCGTTACTTTTTTTTTTCCTTTTGAAGTTAAACCTTTTAAACTTATCGTGGAGGATAGCTGGAAAGCTAAACGCAGAAGATGTTTTGGTTCAAGATCTGTATTATTTATGCAAAAAATCCACTTGCTGTGCCGAGATACTTTTTTTTTTTTAAATCAAACAAAGTTTCAGTGAAACTGTAGTGTCTCTTGGATGGTATTTAAAACATGTTTCTGCACTCTGACACTTTTGCAAAGAACTCCATTGTTTTTCCTTCTGCAATTAAAATTATCCAAGCCTCAAAGAGATAAAGAAAAAGTAGTCATGTCCTGTTTCTCCTTTGGAAAGCTCAATCTTGCAGACGTTCTTATGGTGTAACTAACGCAATCCCTACTGTACCAGCTTCTGTCCGTAAGTTGCATAAAATGCAGTCCGTTGAACACGGAATAGGAGACGGACTTTTTAGAGGTAAATCTGTGCAAGTTCTTTTCATACTTGAAGCCTTTTGGCTACTCTGAATGTTAATGAGTGACATCCTCCCTAACCCAGGGCACGCAACTGGCAGGGGAAAGGAGGGAAGAGACCCTCTTGAGACTTTATCTCTGAATTTAGGAATTCCATTAACTACCTCCTGTAATACATAGTTTAACATACAACAAGTCATACAAATTAAAGCAACAGGAAGATACTTACGTTTGAATTTTAATTTACATTGACTTGAACAACAAAATATGCCTTCAGTGAGGGGAATAGTATGGCAAATTCTGGGGCCGTGGAAGGGTCCCAGGTGGTTCAAATTGTCTCCAGATTTGGATACAAACATATTAGCAAAAAATTTTTGTATTTCCTAATACCTACCTGTGAGGCGTAAATGAGACACAAATGGGTTTACTTGATTGAACAGGGGTATGAGAATATGTGCAGTAACTTGCCTATAGTGCTGACTCCACACTGTGATGCCCTCCTTTGGGTATCCAGATAACAGCATGACACTTTGGAGTACGGCCGGGTTTATTTCTGAGCTATACTATACAAACACTTCTGTTAAATTTAGTAGCTTACCTCATGCTCTGAATTCTGTCTCCCCTTTGACTTCCTTGCATATAAATGAGACAGTGATAACTGAATTTCTTTCGTTAGGCTAACAAAGGTGTTAATGGTGAGCTTGCCTAGCTAAATACCAAGATATCACTGAGCACTGCTACAAAAGGATCCCCCTTTCTCCTAGGCTTTAACAGACAAACTGAATGTTACTTACGTTCCAAAAATGTTTTACAAATATTTTATGCTAAAAGAGGACAACTCTGGAAACAGTGGAAATAGAAGTTTGTGTCTTTGCTCATTGTCAAAACAACCATATCAAAACAGCCACATTGAAATCGTTCGTGATCAGAGTGAGGATCTGTTTTCTGGCTTCTGAAGAGAGTGAGAGTTAACCTGAGATGCAGCACGATGGAGAAGGCAGCTGAAAAAGGGAGCTGATATGCCATTTTGCTAAAATTGATGTCAATTATCTACCCCTGTAAATGTGTTATCCTTCCAGAATGGTTTTGTAAAACTTTCTTGCTACCGATTGCATTGCAGACAGGTATTAGTTCAACTTGATGTTTTGCTTAAGGTGTCCTGTTATGTTAATTTCCTCCCCTCCCCCCCTTTTTTTTAAGGGTTCAGGTAAGATTTGTACAAAAATCTTATTTTTTTTTTTACTCCTATATCCTTTTCTACTCTTTTGGTATTAATGCTCTAAGAATGTGAATGGGCTGTCCCTGAGGCGTGTACTTACTGCGTGAATCGATGATAACTGGCCTTCTTAACAAATTAAATACTCCTTGATGTCACTTCATCCTGATGCCAAAAATGCTTCAAGCACCTGGAAGCCAGATAACCACAATTAGCTGACTTCCAAATAACTGGTGGGAACTGAGCTCGGGAGGTGTGTGTGTTTAGGGGAGCGAGAGGGAGGTTGTTTAGTCCCTCTGCCCCTTTCTTCTCAGCTCTTTTAAGACATGTTTTATTCATACTGCAGGCATTTTTTGATAGAAAGGATTTCTGTGGACCAAATGGGCTATGTGAGAAAAATAGTTTCAGATAATATTGGAATACTAAAGCCACAAAATGTGTAATACCACCCCTACTGCCTTGCCAGCTCCCTCTACCTTGATGTTTTTGAGCTGCTTTCTCCAAGGTATGATACGGATTTAGGGAGCGACTCTTTCCACTGGTGGTTAATTTAGCAGCAGTACAAAATAAGTGGTGTATGTCCTGACTTGTGACTCTAAAAGAAAAAAAAGTTTCCTTCTGAGTCTGCTTGCCTGCTGCCTCTGCTTATTTAAAGTCTGGATGGTGTGACAATGACAGTCTCATGGCTTAGGTGGGGTCTGATGAAGTAACACTGGTCCTGACTGAAGTTTTCAGGGCCTATTGGAAAAACAAAAAGGATTAGTCCACCACTCCTGGAGCTTATTCTGCTCACTTTTAGGCTTCTTCAAGTATGTTGTTTTTACAGAGCAGCCAATCCCAAATACAGAAATAAGCAGTAGAAGCCTCAGTAAGGTTTGAAAAATAAATTGTGCAACACTTATAGTATATCAGCTAAGCAGTAAATACTAAATTTCCTCTGCATTTTTAATAAATATAGGGAAAAATATGTCGCTCTTTGTATCGTACGCAGTAACTTTTGAAGCTGAAGGAGTTGCATTTTCAGA